AGTATTTTCCTCTCAGGAAGCAAGGAAAAGAAGTTTGACAATACTTGGCATGGAATAGAATTGGTCCGAAACTAATTTATGTACATGAGAAGTTTAACAGAAAAATGTTTTTGAAGTAATGGAGCCTATGTACATATACATTCAACACATGGGCAATGTGTCAATTTTGTGGCGTTTCTGAAGAAAACTATTGCTCAGCTATACAGTTATCTGCTAAGCAAAGATCAGCCTGGAACTGGTCAATAGCAGTCATCATGATCATTATATCTTGGCTGGTAATTGCTTTAATTAAATCGTTTTTGTGCTAAATAGTTCATAGACTTGGCCCCTGACATACCTTTGGTTGAATTAACCTTTGCTGTACATTTGTTGGCTTCATGCTCTGTGGATCCGCATCGGAAACAGATTCCTGTGCCTTGCTCTTGATCAAGCAGCATCTTGGGGCAATCAGTAATGCCATGGCCCGCCTCACGGCAATGATAACACACCTGTCAATCACAAATACCAGCAAGAGACAAGAAACAATTTGATCACAGAGCATAAATATACAAAACTACACGTGCATTGTATTTACTAGGTTGAAAAGTGATAGTGGATTTTCCGTTTTGAGTTCATCTTGTGACTGTTCTAAACTGAAGACCAACAATCATGAAAATGTTTGAATAAATCCTTATACATGCATTTGAGGAAATTTTTAATTCAGATCAAGGTAGTTACCATCTTGTTAGCTCTGCTCTTGATCCTTTTCAGACGCCGTTCTTCTTTCCTTTTCTCTTTCTTTCTGTCCGTTTCAAGTGACCTCTCAGCTTCTTTGGCAGACCTTTCCTCATTCCAAGAAACTAGTCTCTCAATCAAGCTTGAATGGAGACTAGGACTGTCTTCTTGTTTAAGCTCAGTATAGTTACTCCTCGGTGAAGCCTGTGAGGTCCTCTTGCATTCGTCCTTAGGGCTCCTCATGTGTCTGTGCTTCAGTTTTTTCTTCCCTCTCTTTGCACGTTTGACACAGATTTCATCTTTCTCTTTGGGCTTGTCATATCTAGTGTCTTCAGTCTTCAGCTTTTGGTAATGATCAGCCCCTCGGTTTGTAAGGTCATTCCAGGATGAAGCTTCATAAGGCCTCTTCCTATTTCCTTTATTTCCTCGTGCATAACGAGTCATGATGTGGTGTTTGCACTACATCATACACCGTACATTTACGCATCAACAAGAGTACATGTACATTTCTCTTCAGAAGCGACTAGTAGATGGCTATTTCACCCATTTGCAGTTTGAAAACAATGGTTTGAACGGACTGAAAAGATAAAATAACGGAGGGGAACAATTCAAGACACAACCTGACAACGCTGCTTCATGTTACTCCCAGAACTTTGGGTTCCAATGTCCGCCACAAACGTCAGAACCCACAGTTCTGGGGGTAGCGTAACGATGGAGCTAGTATGGCATAAATAATAAATATGGCATAATGTTTGACAAATGGATGCTGGCAATTGTTACTGTTGTAGACAATTTGTTCCCCTCCAGCTTTTTGTTCACTTACATGAGGGGGCGCAAAAATCAACATGGCGACGGAACGGGAAATTGAATTATTACATGAAATATGAATGAAATTTGGCAGTGAACATCAGATATGTCTGACTAACGTCACTTTGTCAATATGTTGGTCATTGACATGATTGATAACTTAAAAAATAAACTCAACTTACATCTTCAATGTTGTAACACAATGGAGTGCAAAACACATCGAACAAATTAGTCAATCATGTCAAATGAAGCTGAAAACCATGACTGACATGACTGAATAACACGAAAAGGTTCAGGTCAAATTTAGCACGAGCAACCGATTCCAACCACCATGTGTGTTGGCAGATCGTATGATGTACATGTACATGTACTATGTACATGTACGTACATATATACATATGTATACGTTCTTTGGTTGACATTACAGCGCCCTCTTTTTTAAATATTGTTCCGCATTGTGCAGCGCCCTCTCTGCTTACAATCCAGACATGGCCATGGCTGAAATAAGTGGATTGGAACTTTATGGAACTTGGAAATAAATTTCCTAATTTTTCGTTTACGTGAGGCACCGGTATAAGTAATGTAGCATCGTAGGATACAATTACCAACTGTTGTCCACATCAGCTGTTGCACAACTGGTATGAGTGGTGAGATTAATTTCTAAACGATTTTGAGAATGTCGATACGACTGTATAATTAAACAGTTTGTGTAGGCCTACTCGTACTGTACATGTACATGCACGCCTATTGTTTGTCTCATGATAATTGAACACTGCGCTGACAATGACTGATACTGTACTAAGTCCTGCAGACCAGTGCACTAACAAATGTACGTGTACATGACAGGTACATTTGTAGGCACATTAAGTTGCTACGTATCTATAGTGTACGGTACATGCACACNTTTTGGGACAACACCAGTTCCCCAAAAGAGAGAATATCATCATTTTTTTCTCCCACATTTTCCATTCATTTAAGATATTTAAATTGTTTTTTATGAACTTTGCACCATGCCACTCGATTAAGTATACATGTACAGTGTATGTTAAGGATTGATATTTGGAAAAAATTTCCCACCCTTTATGCTAAATGGCATACTGTTGCTCACAATCCTAAAAGCAAATGGTAGGATTTTTCAAACGGCAGCCTTGGGTGTTTTTTTTCTCCTGAATCTAATTATGGCAATAAAAGAATCCCTAGGGCTATGGTAGGATCTCCAAGTCCACTTGAAAAAAATTGTCCTCGCTCAGGGGAACTTTCTCTGTTTTGGGGGACAGATTTTGTCCCCAAATAAAGGGACTTCTCCACATTCAAGGACAGTCCCCGAGTTGTGATCTGCACCTGTACTGCTTATTGTGAATGTACATGTACATGTCAGCATCTCAGCGAGAATGAACATGTGGAATTATTTACCATTCATTTCAAATTAGAGCAGCTGTGATTGTGAGGACTACATGTACATGTCATGCATGTACTCGTAGTTATGCATGTTGGAACAGTGATTGTTTGTCTACATTGACCCTTGAATGTGCCAGCTTTGAATCTAAATATCTCAGATATACACTTGCTACTGTAATTTTAAGTTCAACTTGATACATGTATATGTGTCTTACTTTTGATCAATACAAAGAGTGTATATGTACCATTGCTTTGTGATTCAGGAAGCTTTGTAACTATGCAAAAGCCAATACCTGTACATTGTTGTCTTGGAGTTCATTCATGTCATCATTGATATTGAAAAATCAATACATCTTTGATATAAACCTTGCACATGGCTAGTGCACCATTTTGCTAAATGTTTCAAACAATAACTGGTCAAATATGCTTCCAGGTAGAGTGTTTCTTTCCTCGGTGAAGGCAGTTCATGTAATTAAAGTCTTCCTAAGTATTGATTTCCTTGGCTTGCCAATGCAGGAAACATGTAGCAGCATGACTGGTCCAAGCATCGCTACGGTGTAAAGTATTGGAGAACAGGTTCACTTCCTTCTCACAAGACAATAATGGATACTGAAAGAATAACACTAGAGATGGTTGAAGGTACGTACATGCAGATACAGTCATAGGTGGTCTTGCAGCTGTATTACATGTAGCTAATGCAAAATGCATTGCCGTGGTTTATTTGATAGAACCAATAGATGTTATTACACCGATCTGACAGTCTCGTCTGACAGTGTAAGGAGGCACTTGCAGGTCACTCTGGGGAAGTCTAGCATTAAGAACCAATAAAAATATTTAGGTCTGTCAAAAATTAATTGGTTCTGAGAGGGTGCTTCAAATTTGTTCTCATTCTGCTGTAAGTCGGCCACTCCCATTTTGCATATTGTTAATCATTGTGTGTTTGTAGTATAGCCTTTTTTCTCTTGTCTGTGTAGGCGGGCAGCTTCAAAATGTCTGTTTTGCTATTAAAGAATTTTTAATGGTCAGTCACTCCTTTCCGCGTTTAAACTTTTTGTCAAAACCTCCCAAACTCTAATTTGTAGCAAATATGGTCTCTCTCTCATTTCCAGTGTTGAGTGAATCACTCCTTGACAACATCAGGACAAAATCTACGTCTGATGTTGCTCGCTTTCTCAAAACCTTCCCAGAAGAGGTCAGAAATCATCTCTTTCCATTTACTGAAGGAAACAAGAACCTTGTCAGTGGCCAGGAACCAAGTGCATTATGGCAACGGTTTCCCCATCCTTTTCTTCATGTTGCCTGTGAATATGGAACAGTGGATGTCGTGGGTGTGTTGCTGTTTTTTGGTGTGGATGCGAGTCTTCGCACAGAGAAGGTGAGTTCACATCCCTCCCTGTGTTGACTTTGTGAGCAAAGAATTTACAAAATTGAGCAAGCAAGAGCCTAACTACACTTCTTACTGTCCAAACAGCTAGATATCCCAGGGAATCTTGACAAGGAGGAATGTTCGTTAGCTCCCCTGCATAGTTGATAAGTTTGGAGGATATGCAGAAAGGTCCTCTATGTTTTGAAATTTTTGTATTATAAAATCTGTGAAGTTCAACCAGTTCAGAAAGGAGCTATCATTTCTACCTTGGTCAATTTTGAATGTTCTTTTGGAACCTATTTTTAATGGATGAACTAGAAACCAGTCCACTTGCAGTTTGTAGTGTGGTGTTTATTTTATCAATTTTATCTCTGTGATGCGCCTTTGAACCCTTTTAGTGGAAAGGGCACAGTCTGAGTGCATTATTATTCTTCATTGAGGTCAGTCTGAGATTGTTTAGAGCAGAAGTGTGGAGATGTGTGCTTTCTGCCAATCTCAATTTATATATATAACGAAGTGGGTAGTCTTTTAAATCATGATAAAAACTTTATTGTTAATTGCAGGAAGGAACAGCTCTGGAGGTAGCAAGCAGACTCGGCAAACTGGACATAATCAAGAAACTAATTGAATGGGAACCAAGTAGGCACTCACTCTGTGATTGTCCTCATTATGAAAGAGCATATCTAAACTTGAACTGGTTTTGGTTCACATCAAATACTGTTTGTTAAAGTCATTTGCAAAAGTTTAGGACCACCCGTACAAAACTGCATGAACCTGCAGAAAAATCAAAATTCGACCAATTAATCATAGCACCTTATGCTTATTGTCAACGTGTGACATCAGTATCTTGGTTGAATTTATGTATTTGACTACATTTCCATGATTTAAAATGTTAACAAAAACAATTTAGTATGCCCTCTTCCATTTCTGATGACTTAGACTGGCTTGTGTTTACCCATGCTGCATTGCAGTTAAAATGTCATACAAGACCTGCCTTTGCAAAACATTTCATTCAAATGGACTCATATCATAACTCTGATGTGACAGACCACTATCAACCATTTTATGTAATCATTCAGTGAGACAGTGAAATGCAGGCCAAGTGACAGAAATACTAACAAAATTCTAGGTGGCCTTAAACTTTTGCAAATGACTGTAATATGGTTTTGTGATGGGTTTGCTACAGCAAATGCATTTAACACAACTTTTGAATAATTGGCAAGGTCAAGTCCGTCTCTTGAAAAGTGAAAAGCATTTTTGGACTTTTATTGTGATCTTTCCACTTTCTTGAACTGTCAAGATATCAAAGCCATGCTTTTGTTTCTGGTTTCAGAACTGATCCAAGAAGAAGACACTGTGAAGATTCTACTTGCCACAGCTTGCTCTGCTGGACACCAAGACGTTGCCAAGTTCTGGCTGGATAAGTTGAGTGAACTCAAGAATGGTCAAGCATTGTGTAAAGAGGACTTCAAAGCGGAGAACGACCCTTTCATTGCTGCATGCAGAGGTATAAAGAGGGGGTGGGATTTATGAAATAATGGGATCAAATCAAGGAGACATTGAGAGACATGTCACTAGTCTTACCTCAGCACCTCAGAGAGTAGAGTTTGTATGTTGTTCTTTAGGCTAGTTTAGTATGGTTATAAATGCTGCCAGTGAAATTCTATGGGAGGATTAATGAACAGCCTGCTGATGAGGAGTCATGTTATTCTGACTTGATTCACAGCTAACAAGCATGATACAGAGTAATTGGGATTTTTCTTTTGGTGACAGGTGAGCACTATCAGCTTGCTGCAAATCTTCTGGAGAAGAAGGTAACCGTTGTCAGTCGGGACACGGCTGTTAGAACAGGCCAGAAATTTAATCACATATTGCAGAAGTGGTGCCAAGAAGAAACAGACGAAACACAAAGCCAAAAGGTAAAACGTAGATCATTGTTTATAGTGCAGGTCTCTAAAAAATTAAGCTTCTTTTCTTTGAAATTAGAAATGAACACTTTTTGAAAAGTCATTTTAATTTACAGTCTTTCATTTGTGTTTTGTATCTTTTTTCCAACTACTTATAAATTAACGCCTTGACGACGGGAATTTTTTTCCGAAAGCCGACTCCAAGAATTCCAGCCTCGCTTGGCCACGAAGGCCACCTGACAAACCGCAAATTCTCGGTTTGTGGCCCTGCGTGCTCTGCACGCTTTGAATTACACAGCGAAAAGGCTCATTGTTCGGGGGCATGCGGCTCTACTCACGCTTCCACATTCCTGTTGCCTCTTTTCAAAGTGGGGACTATTGTGAAGCTGGTGATTATGATGCAAATTTGGTCTTTTCATTTCGGGGCTACATACAAAGGCCAATCACCATATATACAAGAGCCAGGGTCTGCCTTCTTTCACCGTGTTCACTCGAGCGTGGGCTGAGAATAATAGCTGAAAAGCGGGCTGAGGATCTCAAATTTTACGGCGGCTTTTACCGTCATCCATCGCGAAGGGGTTAAGAGATGTTGACAAGATGATTTAAGGAATTGCAAAATTGTAAAGGGCAAATTATTCAGTTGGTTAACTAAGTTGTGATGATGTAGAGAGGCACTGAAACTTTACTTTTTCCAGAAGTGTAATGCCAGATGGAGTGACCGTCAGTTACATCATTTCGACGGAGCCTGGCTCACAACAAACCAAGATCTTTGGCATACTTTAGTCAAAATCAACCTATCCCACAATGCACTGAAGACGATTCCTGCAGTGTTGCTATGGGGACTGCCATGTCTAGAATCCCTGGACATATCTCACAATGAACTTGGCAAGCTTCCAGGTGCCGAGACTTTAGACATGTTAACAGAAACAAGGTATTCAAGGAACATTCTTGATCCACAAGCTAATGATACGATGCACTGAACAAGCAAATAATTATCCAATTAAATAGACGTTTGAAGACGAAGCTAGACAAATTAACTTTCCAGCTACACAGAGTGTAGGTTGGCCAGTCAAACTTTAATTTGAAACTGATAAATTATTTCAAGTCAGTAAGTTTTCTGAAAGTGTTGAACCAATACTTTTTAAAGCAAGAGTGCCAACGTTTCATATAACTTTAGAGAGACGATAGGTAATATTTTTTATTATTAGGAGTTTGTGGATTACTTACCACACAGTGATAAATATTGCAGAAATCATAAATCAGTATACTACCCTCAGTTTCTGGCCTTTCTCCCCAATCTACTTTCCCTTCTGTAAACTAGAAGTCAAATGGTGGTACTTATTTACAGGTTGACACATCTAAAGGTTTCCCACAACAAACTGGTTCACCCTGTCCTGGAAATGTTCATGCTGCCTCTACTCGAGAACTTGGATCTTTCACACAATGATATCACAAGTCTCAATTACAAACGTTTCCCATCAAAGCTGGTCGCACCAGGTCAGTCCGTCTTTATATAAATGTAAAAGGACAAACTAAGACATGTGATTTGAAGGGTTTGTTTTTGACCAGAATATACACAGAATGGTACGTGTCACCCACATTACATTTTTGTTTTTAGATGGGGGCGAAGTTGTCTGGGATTGGAGCAACATGATGTCCTTGAATCTGTCACATAACCAGATTGTTCACATTCCTCGAGATATCAGCACTGCCAAGAGTTTGAAGAAACTCAACGTTTCAAGTAACAAACTGGCCAAATTTCCTGCACCCTGGGACTGTCCTTTGGTAGGGTCAAACCCTTTTAAATTTCTAATTTGTGTTTGTGTGAGAATGGGTTTGAAAGGAAAATAAGTTCAAGTGGATTGTAGATGCTCAACTCTGAACATTTTTGGACTATTTCCAGTTCTTAAATATCTTGCTTGTTTTTACAGATTCAAAGAAAATGTTTGTTATAATTATGAACCCATTTTTGCAAAACTGTGCACTATTTTGAAATTCTTTTGGAAAAAAATCTGAGAAAGGTTAACACCAAATGGCAAATTTATTTCATTGGGGAGGAGAGATGAAAAAAGTTGGAAGGCTTAAATGGAGCTTGGACAGTATTTAATTGAATATTGACAAACATTTATTTTTGACAGACGAATTTGAACGCCTCACAAAACAACATCATGGATGTCCCTGATATGCATGGCTATTGGAGTCGCTCTCTCACCAATTTAGACCTGAGTTCTAACCGCTTGACTGAGATCCCGTGGACTGTCTGTCAGCTGACTGTTCTGAAAATCCTGAATCTTGCCAACAATCAGATTACTAAGCTTCCTTCTCCTGAATCCTGGAGTGTATACAGCCTCAAAGAACTATCTCTGGCTGATAATCGTCTAATATATGTTGAGAAGCCAGCTCCATCCTCACCGTTTAGTGCTAAGAGGAAGAGGTGAGTCATTGACATGAGTCAGTGACCAGATTTCTTTAAGAGACCAAACCTGTTTATGTATTGGGTTTGACCGTCGTAGATGACAAGCAAAGGATATGCCTGGTGCCTGGGGGAGTGATTGAGCTCCAACTCCTACTCATTACTCAACTTCTCATTTGACTTCCAAGCCAATCATTTTTACAAGTTCTGAATTTTTTTGGGGGGGGTGTTTGGCTGATGTAGATATTATTAATTTATTTATTTTGACCCTCATTGATGTATTGTTACAAGGGGTGTTCATTCGAGGCTCCTTGTTTAACAGGACTTAAAACAAACTCTTCACAATGTATTCCAAAATGTTCTTGACGTCTGTACAAGTTGGAAAAGATTACAAAAAGTTAGTGAGTTTCTGTACTGTAGTTTGGCAATTATTGAACTGTCTGTGGATATCAACCCTGCCATAGCCCACCTGAGCCATGGACAGTAGTCACTGCTGTAAAATGTTGGAATCCTCGGAATTTTAAGGCAGATATAAAGAATGGGTTACCATGAAAGATTTATTCAGAGTTGAATTTCTCTGATCAATTCCACATAGTTCCAGCCTTTCCCAGAAGATCATCTTCAAGAGGGACAGTAGTGTTGCCATGGAAACTCCACCACCATCCACTTTCTACTCGTCAGGCAATGAGGATGCAACCTCTGTTGTTTTTCCAGAGATTTTCAGGGATTGTCTTATGACCCTTAGCCTCAAGAATAACCAGTTACAGCATGTTCCTCCAAGTCTCTGCAGTCTGGCCTGTCTACAGAAACTCGATCTGAGTGGGTAAGTCCAATAAAACCTCTACCAGCCTTAGACATTAACCAGGGAAGTGAGAATTTAGCTTTTTACCTGATTTCAGCTTTTTTTTTGTTTCGATGTTGACCCTGAATTTCAGCTTTTTTGTACATCCGTACATTTCAGCTTTTTGCTAGCTGTTTTCAGTTTTGATTTGAACTGGCCACTCTTATCCCTGATTAACACAATGGAAATACTAAAACTTAATCTCTTGTTATCCCTAAAAGTTAATCTGTCAGAGGATATGCCTCAAATTAACGGGCTTCACGTAGTAACACCAAATGATCAGTACTTGCAGAATGCCTGCACAGGTAACCTCCTCGTTACTTGTGAAGATGAAACGCAGTAGATGAACAAAAGCTGTAATGTCTTAATCAGCACCTTGCTGTCCTAGATCCATCAGAGTGATAGCCATGACATGTGGCAAAAGAGGCATTGTGCTGTTTTCAAGCGATGTCCATTTGAGTCAACAGACTGACCAACTGACTGCCGACTGACTGACCAACTGACTGAGTGTGATATAACTTATAAACTGACATGCAGCAAAAAGGAAAAGATTGCTGTTCCCATGGCAACCTTTCTTGAGATTAGATTATCAGAACCATGAAAAGCTTTATTTATAGCGACTATGAAATGTGAAATTATATCTTGTGTGTTTTGTAGTAATACAGGAATTGAAAAGCTTCCAGATACTTTGGCTCAGTTGAAGGATCTCTACTCCCTCAACTTAGATGGACTGAAGATTAAGGAGCCGGAGACTGTTGTAGCTGCCATGCAAGAGAAAGAGCACTGTACAAGGAACATCTTGGAAAAACTCAACGAGAGATTGTTAAAGTGCAGCCCTTATCGCAGTGTGAAACTCATGCTTGTGGGACCAGAGGTAAGCTAGGAAAACAAAAACTTGTTGTCTTACAGATTGATCTTGTTGGTCATTCTATTGAGTTAATTCTATGCACATGTTCTTGTTTCTCAGAAATGTGGCAAGACCTCAGTGCTATCGTGTTTAACCAAGCGAGAACCTGACGATGACTTAGGTATCAACATTTGTTCCTGGACCCTGCAGAATCCTATCCAAGTTGACACCAGGCCCTCATTTAAAAAGAAGCTACTTCAACTCAAGTCAGAGCAGGTAAAATTATTATTCTTTTAGGGATATATTGGTAATGTGGATAAATGAGGCTTTTCAAAAAACATTTATGATAAGTTAAAAAGAGTTACACAAGTTTTAAACACTAAAAATAAGGGGCTGCCAAGAACGTTCAGCGGCTTGGCACGGATTTTAGGCAAACATGGGCAGCTGATATAACTGCAGATGGAAATGTCTACTCAACTCTAAATCTACAGATATTTAAGACGTGTGTTATTAATTACTAATTAGTGCTCTTGATTTGTGAATTATTTGGTTTAAAGAAAACCCGAACAAGATAAAGCAATATAAGAAGTGGCTAGAATCTGCACCTGCTGCTGGAATAAAGACTATCCTCCAGAAGTGAAATGGAATAGAATTGGCTCCAGAAATAGCATGTTTCAGGTTTCAGCTCAGGGAAGAATATACTGTACTGGAAGATATCTGTATTAAAAAAGCATGTTTGTCTTTGGTTGGCATGATAACAGAGTGTTTCCGGTCATGGTGATGTTCATTTTTCAACCTGGGATCTAAAGGGAGGAGAGTTGAACAGCATGATCCATCAAAGTTTCCTCACTCCAAGGGCGCTCTATCTACTTGTATGGGATCTCCGAGATGGATCCAAAGGAGTTGAAAAACTGAGACCGTGGCTTCTTAATATTCAGGTAGAAATTTGGCGCCGTAATGGTATTTGTCTTCTGTGTCAATTTTGTTTGAGAAATTAACAAGACTGGTGGATATATATTTTTGTTTTATTTAGTCAAGGGCATCAGAAAGTGCCATCATCATTGTTTCTACGCATCGTGACAAGGTTAAGAAGAGTCAGAGCCCGGAGGCAATTAGACAAGAAATCAGAACAAAGTACAGTCACCAAGATGGGTTCCCAGACATTGCTGAGATCGTGGAGGTCACCGCATTGAGCCCTGATGGGGAGGGAATCAAGGAACTACGACACGTCATTTACCAGAAAGCCCTGGGAATGAGGATCAAGAAGACATTTAGCTCCGGTGCAACAGCCACGATTCCACTGATAGGACGAATGGTAAGATCGCTGCATTGCTTCATCAAATCAACACTAATTACTATCTTTTTATTATTACTGGTTTATTTTTAACTGTACTCCACGCCGCCAGCAGACATACGTCTACAGACAACAGTATTACAAGACATTTGTAAAAAACACGATGATCAGAGTGATGGAAGGAATAAAATTATCAAGAAAAACTGGTTTGCTTCCTTGTTTTAGGTTCCTCGTACATTCACCATTCTTCAAGAGATCATCGCCAATGAGGCTGATCGTCGTAGACGGAGCATACCCCCTCTCCCCCCAGTCATGAAAGATGCTGAGCTGACTAGTCACATCAGGAAGATACCTGACAGTAGAATAGTAACAACACAGGACATTGAGGATGGTTAGAGCAATGTTACCAGACTTCCCTCACCTTTCAGTTTCTATCATCCCAATGTCAGTACCAGCCAAAATACTATACATGTTTTCACTTTCCTCCAACTTCCAGGTTTTGAGTTGTACCAATTGGCACCGTAGTGTAATTGATTGATCAGTTTCCGAGGTTCTTGCAACCTCAAATAAGCCTGAAATCTAATTTGATTTTCTCTCTTAACTTTTCTTTCTTGTCAGCTGCTGAGTTCCTGAGCACCTGTGGCAGTCTGGTTCACTTCAGTGATCATCTGCAAGGCTTAACTAGCTTGTATTTCCTAGATCCTGTCTGGCTATACAATATTCTAATCAGTGTTGCCAACATCAACCCATCCTTTGTCCGTGAAGGACGTGTACACAGGTCTAGCTTGGAAGAGCTGTTTCAGGAGAGTGGTTTTGGAGAGGGGCGGTTTGAAGAATATCTTCAACTTTTGCAAAGATTCGAGATTGTGCTTCCAATCAGTAGAATAGAGTAAGGAAATAGCACTTCTTTTGTTTTCTTACACAAAAATGTAGAGAGCTATAGCTTGAAGTTTGACATCATGAAAGAGTTTAATTTGATACTGTCCTCTTTCAGATACCTGATTCCAAGCCGACTTCCCAAGGAGAAGCCAGGACAGGATCTATCCCCCTTACAAGGTCAAGATGATTCATTCCAGGTTTTGGAACGTCTGTACAAAATACCTTACACCCCCCCAGGATTCTGGAGTCGATTGGTGTCCAGAGTTTATGTTGGCCTCAAGATTCTGGATCAGGAGAGAAATAAAGAAGCAAATGGAGTGTCTAGACAAGGGATGAAGCGAGGTGTTAAGCTCCAGAGATCAAGGTTTGTACTATTAAAAACCCTCAAGAGCCTTCTTAAATGGTTCTTAAATTTAACAGCATTATGGGAACATCCTAAGGACATCACAAGACCATCAAAAGACCAACTCAAAACCTCCAGTCTGAATTCAAGTCACAAGCTGGTCATATGAGCTGCAACAAAAATACTCCTGTTTTCAAGAGGCCCAGTCAAATTCAACAAACTGACTCAAGCGTAGCTGTTTGAATTAGAATCTTTACTCTCCATTGATATAAAAATCCTGATCTTTTTCAACTCAGCTTTTAATACCTTTGTGACTTGGACTGCAGTCCATGAACTAATTAATATTCCTGTTGCAAAGCACCCCTCCAACAATACAAGCTCTCTGTGAAAGACTGTACTTCGAAAGCTTACAGAGGTTTTCTAAAGTTAGTTAAATTCCTGAGATGCAGTACCCTGTGTTATCCTGTTTGCCTGCTTGAATGTCATTTATGATTTGTAAAAACTTGACTTGCTTTGCTTGAAAGAATAATGAAGAAGTCATCAGTCTTCAAATGTGTGGTTTTGTGAAAATTGAAACATTTTGAAACTCTTTCAGCAGAATGCAAAGAAGTATGCGAGTAGGACTGAAGCTGGCTCAAACTAACATTATGTACTGGCAAGAGGGTGTGTCAGTGCAACATCACTCTGGTCGAGTTATGTTGAAACCCATCACTTTCCAAGATACCAAGCCAGGAATCTATGTGATGATTAGTTGTCAAGATGGTGAATTCAAGGCTATGGGCTTCATGGTGGATCAGATTGAGCATCTAATGAAGGAATGGTACCCTGGTAAGTTCTGGAATTAGCTAAAGCTTGGAGCAAATATTTGAAAGTGATCAACTACAAAGTATTGCCATTTCAATTTTATCTTCCTGATAGCAAGATGATTAGTTTTAAGTTTCTGATGTACTTTTATTTCAAGTATGTTGTTTCAATTACAGTAAATCAGAAATTTGATATTTGGTTGAATAGTTGAATTTTGTTTATTTCTAATTTGCTTCATTTTTTATGTTTTTGTCGTACAAGGCTTGCTTGGAGTTGATGAATTTTCTGGAAAGCCTTTAGTTGAGAGACTCATCCCATGCCCAGTTTGTCGAAGTAAGACCTTAGAGACACACTACTCCTACAATCAGACACCAGCTACTGACAGCCAAGGAGATTGTCATCACTTCTCTGTCAGCAATCTTGCTTTGACAGCCACCATGAAGGGTACAGAGGAAGTGGAATGTCCTAGACACTCTGAGGAGGTCTTGGCTCTTCCTAAACTTATCCCTGATCTCTTTCTAATGGATTTGCCAATCCGCATCCTTGACAAAAAAATGTTTGATTTTGACCCCAAGGTCAGCCGATCTCTTGGCAGTGGTGGTTTTGGAGAGGTTTTCAAGGCACAGTTCCGGCATAAGGATGTTGCTGTCAAGATGTTGATCACATCAACATTTTTCACTCACAGGACGGACTCTGGGATGCATTCATCAACAGGAGATGAGGACAGTAAAAAGTCTAGCAATGGCAGTGATCTCTCCGATAGTAGCAAGAAGTCCCTGTCACCAAGACTGTATGATGAAAAGAATATCGATGTCAATGCAATATTTGTCATGGAGGGGTTCTCTAATCTGCGCAGTGAAGTAGCCACTATGTCAAAGCTGCAGCATCCTTGTATCATTCGTCTCATTGGGATATCTATTCAGCATCTGTGCTTTGCCATGGAGCTAGCTCCCCTGGGTGACCTTGCAAGCCATCTCAAACGAGAAATTGAAAACCAAAGGGAGAGTTTTGCAGTAAATGGGAAAGTTTATCGAACCATACTGGATCGAGTTCTAACCTTCAAGATCGCCTTGCAGATAGCTCACGGGGTTTCTTACCTTCACAGCAAGAGAATTATCTACTCTGATCTGAAGACAGACAATGTATTGCTGTATTCCATAGCTCTGGATGCACCAGTCAACATCAAGTTAACAGATTATGGAATAGCTCGTCCTATGGACTTGGAAGGAGCAAGGGGTCAAGCTGGTCCCATGGGCTTCTGTGCTCCAGAGATACTGAGAGGAAGAACATTTACAGAAAAAGTACTAAATCAATTTGTCCATTCCAGTAGTTACTCTTGGCCAGTAACCAGCAGTATTAACCTGAGTGCAGAAGAATGCTTGTCAGAAATACCTCCCTAAAAGCCTTAATAGCAAAAACGTTAATGGATCAATCATATGGTCTAGAATACTTCTGAATAATCTGGAAAGAGTCTGCTTTTACATGCATGTTTTGACACTTTCATTTCTGGAGTTTGACTGCAGTCTGCTTTTTTTTTAATGTCAGTGGCATATTTATCAAAGGGATCTTGGTCAATGCAGTAGTAGTGTACCCTATCCCCAAGTCTCTGTAATTTCAGACTGAAAGAAAGTAACCCCAATGATGTATTTTGGAAATCTGTGTAATTGGTTTGAGATCTGAATAAAATAAACCTTAGAGTTATCCTGGGTAGAAGGTAAGCAAGGAACTATTTCACTCGTCTAATACTACAAGAGGAGTCTTTGTGAATGAAACCTTGAGTCAGGATCTAATCTTTTTCCTGATTTCTTCCTAGGTTGATTGGTTCTCCTACAGTATGCTCCTGTATCACTTGATGTCTGGTGCTTGGCCTTATGATAACCTCAAGTCTGCCATTGAGGTTCGCAATGCCATCAATACTGGCATCAAGCCTAGCTTTCACTTCCGAGACTACACAATCATCACCTTGTTCCCCAACCTGGAGCGATTAATGTTGAAGTGTTGGACAGACAACCCATTACAGAGGCCCAGTGGGCATGAAATTGCCATGGCAATGGAAAATGCAAGTTTCACATGCCTGAAAAATGTCATTCAGTTTGATGTGGATGAGATAACATGTGTACATCCTGGCTCTGGGGAGATGTTTGAGGTAAGCTTGCAAATTTACAGACACTATTGGCTAGTGATTAGTTGTAAACATTATGCAGGCAACTCTCGTTATTACAAAATCGGCTGTAACAAAACAAGCACACATCGTCGGTCCTGACGAAAATGCGCACATTTCTATGGAAAGAAACTCTGTGACATCAAAATTGCATTGTACCAAATTCCTTTTACAACAAAGGGTTTCTGTGACCCCGTTGCCTGAAAAAGCATTTTTGACAACCCATTTATACCGAGCATTTTACAAAGCCTGGATCGTGAAATTGAGAGCAGAGTTAGTCATCAACAGGTGTATGTCTCTTGTGTCAGTTGTTTAATCTTGCCAACTCAACAACTGTTCATGGGAAAGTGCTAATTGGTAGGACTGCACAGTTGCAAATTGCCCATTTCAGCTCCCAACAACAGACGGTAATTAAACAGGGCCAGCGTCACATGTAAGACATCAAAAGGATAGTCATTAAAGTGCATGAGTGACGTGTGCCAGTCATCCGTGTCATGCACGCACAGCCGCGGGGAATTCATTCAAATCAATGACAATCCTTTTGCAATGGGCTTTTCAAGCTTCTAATTACTATCAGCTTTCATGATCAAAAAGGGGAAATCAAAAAGTATGGAGAAAAAAAACATACAATGTGATCTTTATGGGAAGTGTGGCACATTTTATATGTAAGGGTTGGGAGTTTAACAAATGATCATACGAATATCGTCCCTCCTCTGTGTCAACATGACCTCAGGTAATGACCTCAGGTAAGGCAATAAAAAAGATTTATATTTTTAAACATCTAACCCCCATAACACCAGAACAAAAAGCATTCCCTTCTCAGTTCCGATAAAGTACACCCAAAAGAACTATGCTGAAAACCTTAACCCAGAAAAGTCCATCCCTTGTTCCCATAAAACCTTCTCACCCCAAATAAACTAAAAGGTTCCCCTCTGGTCACCATAAATTACCAAAAGACAGACGGTCATTAAAAGAACAATTGCAACCCCAGAAACAAAAAAAGTTCCCTTTTCCAATTCCAATAAATATACAACACGAATAAGTTCATTCTTTTTAGGGAGGAATGCAGATTTCCTGCATCCCAATGCTCAAAAACTGCTCATGTCGCTGCGAAAGAACTAGTGCACCTGTCAATCAGAGACTACTCACATGGACGAGGCTTCAGTTGATCAGCCTTCACATTTGTGCAGTTTTGCCGTGGTTACGTTAGCGTCATTCTCATCTGTTATGATCAACAGTTTTTAAAAACTTCCTGGCATGATGCTTTTATTCCCTTTTTGATCTCACATGTACATGAAAAATATTTTCATATACCACTGAGTTTTATTCTTAACACACAACAATATACATGTCCATTTATTTCATGTATCATAACTGAGAGATCTTTGTTGATATCACCCATGCACGTTCACGTGTAGGCATGTATCACAAGGTGCATTGATGCTGTAGTTGTACATGTACTCGTGCAATAACACAATAAGACCTATTCATGTATGTATCTTGAAGCCATTGCATGGAGCTCCGCATACAGCGAATTGCAGATACAACAAACATTTTCACTGGGTCCCGCATATTTCATAATAACCAGAGTTTATGAGTTTACAGGGTTTATGCTTCAAGGATTCCATTGAGTATTTGCCAAGTAGTGCCTCATTCTTTGTTTTCAAAACATAAGTTAAAAGGCCTGTTTTTTTGTAAGAGGTTGTTTCAAATCACTTGATGCTTAGATTAATCTTCTAAAATAACTAACTTGTTTTCCCATTTTGTTAGCAGTCAGATCGTCTGTGGTTGTGGACTGGAGAGAATGAGAATCGTCAGTGCACAAAGATCCACATCAAGTTTTTTAAGCATGGAGAGCTTTACCCAAAATCATTCAAAGGCTCTCGAGTGAACTGTATGGTGCAGGTTGGACACTTCGAACTTATAGGCACAGAGGTAAGTCACACTGGAAATCATGTCAGCCGAATTCATCTTCAATCAATACATGTACTACTGGCAGTCATAGGTCCTTATTCATCATTTCAACTTAGCTATTTAATAAAGAGTTTTAAATCTATGATGAAATTTTTGGATGATAGGACCGTGTCATTCAGCTGTATGGACCACCTGCAGTTGGCCCTCAACAAAATGTCCATCAACAGGATTTCCATGTGGATTCTGCAGTTCTTTGCCTCTGCTATCAGCCAATCAAAGACAAGGTAATCTGAGTGTCAGTGACAATGACAAAGTGTCAGTGACAGTCATGTTTATAATTGCTTTTTTTAAATTGTCACTGCTCAGGTATATTCAGTAGCATGTCAGTCATCTGGTTTGGTCTTTCCTTCCAGGACATTCAAGGGCATCTGTTTGCTGGTCTGGCCGATGGTCATGTGGTTATTTTTAGCCATGCTATAGCAGCAACTGATAGCAGTGGGACACAACACAGCCCTGCTTGGTTCAAGTCAAAGACAATAACCTTTGAGAATAAGTGCTGTAATCAGTTGGAGCTAGTCCCTGAGCGAGAGGAGTTGTGGATAGCATGTGGAAACAAATTGCGTATTCTTGATACTAAGGTAAGGTGCAATCTTGGCCCAGCTACTTAGTGTGGTGACTCGGACATAGACCTCTAGTTCCCTGGCCCGTTCTAACTTTTTAAATCCAAATTCTAGCACTGGTCACTGTCTCAGTTAAACTCCTTAGTTCTTCATACTTCTCTCATCATAGACACAAACAATTCAAGATCCAACTGATTATTAATCCCAACCTTAATCCCCAAGTAATCCAATCC